GACATGGTGTGAGCGCGCAGGTACCTGAGGGCGTTTTTGGAGTCGAGCTTGGAGGCTATGCGTGATACCCTAGACTTGTTCATATCACTTCCATATCAAACTCATATCGAGGACGCATTACTGGACGTGAGATACGGATAGTCGTGCAACGTGTTCGGGATCGCTTCATCCATGATTGTGAGATGGGGCTCGTCCTGCTGCCATCCCGGCGAGAATGTTGAAAGAGGCCGAAGGTGGGTGATGGCGGATCGCTCCCCACAATCACTCATCGATGTCCATACACCTCATGTAATATTGGTGGCTTGAACTCGAGTGACTTCAGTCAAATGCCACCTCATGTGAGTAAGCGGTTGCGCCCACTGACTCAGCGTCACATTGGATCATCATTGGCGGGGCCTCGGGCCTTTAATGTTTCCAGTCTCCGAGTCTTCGCAATCCAGAGAAGCCGTCACAAACAACATTCCTCCCTTACATCTGGATACCAAGGATCGGAGAAGCGGATTTATTGACTGACTACGAGGTTGCTAAGTACGGCGCAAAAGTGTCTCGAGCATTGGTGACGCCAGGGCAATCACCCGCAGTAAGTGGCGATCATGCCGCTCGAGCAAGATCTCCAAGTCGCAAAAGCACAATACGACGCGGATCCAGAACGATGGCGAGACTACGAAGCGACGGCAGGGCTGCAGCGAGAGTACTACACATTGCATCCGCGATTTCAGCCCATCGAGGGCCGGACAATAGCGCAGCAAGCCACTGAGGAGACTGAGCCGGTTGAGGAAGCAGAGCAACCTGCTCGAGTCCACAGGCATGCATCCATCGCCAGCAGCGGCGTCACTTCCATCTCTTCCGTATCACACGAGTCGATTCGGGGCGGAAGCCGACCGCGGACCCGCCGGCTGGACACAGTGGCGACTGTGGACGACCCAGTGATAGAAGAGAGGATTGTGAACTACCTGGACCGGCATCCCACCGCCATACAGCGAATTGCCGAGCACCGTCTCCAGCACTCCCAGACCGTCGGCAGCCGCAAAACCGGCGCATCCGTGCACCTGCCGAATTTCGGTGGTGGGAAACCCTACCCACGTCTGCTACCGGAGCGCGAGGAGTACGTGGTAGAATTTGATGGGCATGAAGACCCGACGCACGCACAGAACTGGCCGCTGAAGACCAAGATCATCATCTCTTGCATTCTGATTTGGGATGCCATGGCGGCAACTTTCGCCTCTAGTGTCTTTTCGCCCGCGATGACTGCAGTCGAAGAACACTTTCACAAGAGCCGCGAGGTTGTCACTCTAGGGACGTCGCTGTTCGTTATGGGTTATGCTTGCGGGCCTATCATCTTCGCGCCCATGTCAGAGCTGTATGGGAGAAGAGTACCGATCATCATCGCCGCCTTCGCGTTCGGTTTGTATCTCCGCAACAACGAGGCCCTCACCAGCCACTGACAGTGTTTAGGAATCTTCAACATCGCTGTGGCGGTT